AAAGTATTTTTTCATTAAATAAAATTATAAATAATATTACAAATAATATATTATATATTATAAATAATATTACAAATAATATAAATAATATTATAAATAATAATTCATTAAATGATATTTATTATTTAGTAATTTGCTCCTATAATGGAAGATTTGAGAAACTAACGCTACTTAAATTTAACAATAAGTCGCACTTGAAATATTGTGAGAAAATTTTCACAGTTTGCCACTAAGGCAATTAGTTTGGAAAGTCGTTCTCTTTGTAAATAAACTGTCACCGTCTGGTCTCGTACATAACAGTGTCTGGAGTGTTCTTTAGCTTCGAGAAGACCTGTAGAATTATCTGTGAATGATACGAAGAGACACAAGATGTGAAAGAGAAATGTGAAAGAAAAGAGAAAAGCTATTTTTCTGTAATGTCAAATGGCTGTGCTTTGCGATATTTCGATATTTTCTTACCCGAGTTTTGAAAGAATTCCTTTAGAATTGAAAATTTCTTAAAATTTGCAGTTATTTTTCTTAAAACAAGTTGCATCACAACATTAATTAGCGAGAAATTTTTGAAAAATTATTTTAATTCTAAATCGTTTTTCATTTTTTTTTTATTAAGAAAAATACTGAATGAAAAAAAGCAAGTAATAGATACATGTTTGCGCACATGCAAACTTAGATACTTCGATATTTATGAAATAATAATTATTATACATAATTATTATATAAATATTATTATAACACTTACGCAATATTAGTTAACGTTATAAGCAGGATATTTCCCGAAAGAAATAATTTTGAGTTTCTTAACGTTTTTCTATTAAAAAGAAGGAGAAAAGGAAAAGTTTGGAACGCATATAAACTGCCGCTTTAACGGGGTTTTAATTCGACGTATTAGCGTATATTCCAGCAAGTACATATTCCATTTGGTAGTTCCAGTACCTGTATTTTGTAAAGGGTGGCAGAACGCAGAGAGAGAGAGAGAGAGAGAGAGAGAGAGAGAGAGAGAGAGGGAGGGAGGGAAAAACGAGTGAGATAGATGGATGACGGCGACGTACAAAGACGCTTCGGGGGTGACGAGAGCGTGCGAAGGGGGCGGACGGGTGGCGAGGGGATCTGCCTGCCTGATGGAGCTTGAAACTGAATTAACCATCCCCGCCCGGGGCCCGTGATCTCGTCGCAACCTCATCTCGGCGACCATTATATTTGTCTTTGTATGCTAAACATTTTGTGGAATTATACGAGACAGGTTTCGAAGAGTCGTCTCTCCCTCTAGTTCTCTCTCTCTTTCTCTCCTTCTCGCTCACTCTTCCTTTTTATCCTCAATCCACCCTTCATCCCATCTCTATAGCTCGTGATCGAGAAACGATAACGATTACGAGATATTACTCTCTTGTGCAAGATGATGTTCCAGGCGAAAAGCGATCAGTAAAATATCGTCGTTCTTTTTTTTTATGAGCATAGAAAAAATTCATGAACAACGAGAGCAAATTGAATTCACGTCCGCATATCTCAGAAATATCTTGTACCTCTTCTAATTCTTTGTTTCAGTCACGTAATCGAAAATTAATCTTTCAATATGCAGATAAAAACAAAGCTGATATCATATACAGCTGATATCATATACAGTTTACTTTTCGCTAATATAAAAATTTTCCCTCAAAGATTATTAATGACTAATAAACTCGCGGACGATTCGTGTCAAAAAAATTCGACATTAAATTGGTCGAAGAATGCACAAGTGGACGGAGTGTGTCGGTAGATATAAAACGTACTATAAATAATTGTCGATCGATCAAAATCTTCCTTCTCAATTCGCGTTTCTCCGACGGTGTCGCGCTGTCTGCGCTGTCATAAATCGATAAGTGGATAAGATAATCATTACTACATATTGTTACCGATATAATACCGATCAACTTGTCGCACGCTAATCCTCGATTTTCTCTATAATTTTCCGCCGGAATCGTACTTTTTTCCAAATCGACCTTGATTGAGACTTTATTGGAGACGAAACCTTCATTTCGAAATTTTTAAAATTTTGTGTATGAAATGTGTATTCTTCACATCTCATTTAATTTTAAATTTTTATTTATCTCGTACGATGATGTAATGTTATTTAGCATAGAGAATCAGACATTTGATGCTAACGTTAGAAATGTAAAGATAAATTTAGAGAAATGAATTTAAGAGTAAACGATATCTCTCGCTCTCCCTCGACACATTGTTATTTTTTAGAATAAGAATTCCTTCAACGTCAACCTCGTTGCGATGATTTTTGGCGTAAGGCGACGATGACAACATCGCAAATATCCTCTAGATTAACCGTTCACCAAACGAGTTCCATCGGTTTATTCTCATTAATACTGCTTAATATAAAGATTTATCTTCCTCGACATTGATGTAAATTCGTGGTGAATGTATCGGTAGCATCGATATCCTAAATATCATGCTGCGCTACATCGTTAACGTATAATGAGATTACCGGACCGTTCGTCGGAAAGAATATCGGGAGAGGACGAAGAAGATGGATCGTGCGTCGTTAAGAGCAAAACGAACGCTTGTCCCAATTAGCGCTGTACGAAATAATGTAGTCGCACGCGTCAGACGCTTAATTTGTCATATGCGGCAATTAAAACACTGGAAGGTTTAAGAATTTTTTTAAATTTGCGGTATATTTTTTATTGAAAATATATATTTTCTTATGCAAATGTTATTGATTAAAGCAGCAACAAAAAGATTGATCGAAAATCAATATTTCATTGATTCTTCTAAAGTGAAAATATCTATATTTTATTTCTTCGTCTCACTGATTACAGTCAAATTTCACCGAAAAATCGATAATAATCGTTCATTATTTGCAAGCTTTATATTTGCTAGTTTTTTCTATTTGAAAGTTTTTTCTATTTATTTTAGATCTATTATTATTGAAAAACTTTTACATATTCATATTTGAAATGAAATACAGAATTAAAATTTAAAGTCATATTACACTTTTTTTTCTTAAGATGCTTGATTCCATTCAAACATTCTTTTAGAAATAAAATGTATTGCTATAAATTTATTGAATATGTCCAATATTATAATATAATATGTACAATATTATAACAATATTATAATATGTACAATATGACATTTTTTTAAATATTACAAATTGAAACGGTTATTATTATAATTCTTTCAGTGAGACTTTACTGATTGCAGTGAAATCTATATATTTATAAATGAGACTGTCAGTGAAATCATTCATATACCCTTTTAGATATGTTAAAATATTAGAAACTATAAAATTAATATGCGATTTTTTTGAAGGGAAAGAGAATAATAGAAATGAATAATAGAAATATAAATTTTCATTTAATAAGGAAAAAGATGCATTATTTTAATCTCCTTCAAAAATATATATTATTTCGAAATATTGAGAATGATGACAAAGTATACCAGTGACGCCATATTGTTTATAATAGATGATATGTAGTACATGATAGGTAATATCTCTCTATCTTCCCTACGGTAGGGGTGGTTTTGCGCCCGTCGACTCTGTGGTTGGCTCGCATGAAAACTTGCGTGAGTCGATTACCCGATGCATCATTCTGGAAACATGTTCGTTCGTTCACTGCAATGGAGTTTGTAATAGCCAGAATTGCCTCGATTTTCATGTATATGTTGACGGCAACGCGCAAAATTGGACGCGATAAAAATTGTCATCTGTCCATCAACGTGCATTTCTATTGTAGTATAATTTTACGTGTCCGAGGAGAGCAATTTTAGCATATTTTTTAATAATTTAGAAATAATTCAGTATAAGATTAATATGCGTAAAAATAAAAAATATGATTAATAGTGCTTATGAGTTGTTTTTTTAAAGTACAACAGTTAAAATATTTATAATTGTTTTTGAAAGGGATTTTATTTTTTAAAGTAGAACAGTTAAAATATTTATAATCTTGTTTTTGAAAGGGATTTTATTTTTTAAAGTACAACAATTAAAATATTTATAATCTTGTTTTTAAAAGGGATTTTATTTTTGAAAGTAGAACAGTTAAAATATTTATAATCTTGTTTTTGAAAGGGATTTTATTTTTTAAAGTACAACAGTTAAAATATTTATAATCTTGTTTTTGAAAGGGATTTTATTTTTTTGTTTTTTCAAAAAATATTTTCTTTTTTTCTTTCTTTCTTTCGATTTAGTACAGAATTTTATTTAACTTTGCTTTTATTTAACCTTTCTTACGAACTTTTTTAAATAGAATCGATCTATTATCACCGATAATAGTTTTTTAAAAGTATAACACTGCAACAGTGAAATGTTACTGAAAGTAGACTTATTCAATAGCGATGACTGATTTTTGATGAAACGCTGTCATAATCAATGAAACTTAAAGACGGAGAAGCAAAGTGCGAGTGTTTTCACTAAAGATTAGTGATAGTTTTACCTAAGATTCGCTTTGACAGAACAGATGAGCTTTCGTTATCCTAAAGGATGAGATTCGATACAATGGATCTTTCGGAGGAAAACGCTTACAACCATTTACGGCTCGTGGAAATCGCCCGACGCCTCGCTCAGTCACGCGTGAACATCGACACATGGACGGACGTGCACGAATGTACACACACACGCGTACGCGTCCACGCGTACGTCGTGTCTCTCGGTCTGGTTGCCCCGAGTTTACACTCGGTATCCCCATCTTGCGCGACGACGGCGACGAGACGGCAGCGGGAGACTGTAGTTTTGGTCCACTGGGAGTTATAGCGTCGGGACGCTCCGAGTCACCGTGACCCGGAAGCTCCGCCCCTGTGGAAGTCGAGCCGCCAACCGACGGGTATCCGAGAGGTAGGAGGAGCCACCGTGCTGGCGGCGGCGTCGTCGTCGTCGACCAGGTGAACGGCGACTCTCGGGGGAACCCGATCGAGTCTCTTTGGCGCTTAGTATCGCACCGACTCTCGTATCAATATCTCGTTGCTCTCTTTTTCTTTTTTCTTTTCTTTCAAATCTCCCGAGCTTGTTCTTCATCGAGTTCATCGACCTTATGTGTCACGACGCGAGCGAGGCGTCGATCGATCGTTCCCCGAGTGACGATTTTTCTCCAGTGCCGATTGTCCGATCGATTCTAGCCTTCTTGGCCGTTTTGGTATTCGAAAGCATTCGAAGGTAGGAGGAAATCCATCTGCTTCGTGACAGATGGAGACGAAGACGGAACCGCTGACGCCACCGCAAACGCCTCCGATCGTCGACAGACCGATGCAGCATCAGCATCATCAGCAACAGCAGCAGCAACAGCAGCAACAGCAGCAGCAGCAACAGCAGCAGCAGCAGCAACAACAACATATACCCTTTTCAAGGTGGACCAGGTCTCAGCATTTCGCTACCGGTAGATATCTCCAGCACCAGCAACATGTCCAGGCGACGCATCAGAATGTCGGCGGCTACCAGGCCGCTTTCCTAGACAATTGGCTCAGGGGTGCGGCTCTGTTGGCCGTTCGGGGTTGCTGTCCTCAGACACGTCCGCACCTCTATTATCATCAGACACATCAAAGTCTGATTCCGGTGCCGCCACCTCCGCCGTCGTTCCTCGCGCGAAGATCACCGGGTCAAAGACCCAAGAAACAGTTCATCTGCAAGTTTTGCAATCGACAGTTCACCAAGAGCTATAACCTGCTGATCCACGAGAGGACGCACACCGACGAGCGACCCTACTCGTGCGACATATGCGGGAAGGCCTTTCGCAGGCAGGATCATCTGAGGGATCACCGGCAAGTATTTTTTCCAAATTTATGTCTCCAGTCTCCGATTTAGTCTCCGATTTAGTGACGGTGTCACGTAGCAGAAAAAAAAAACGTTTACGAGATTGGAGCTAGTTTAAGTAGACGAGAAAATATAAATTGTAGACAATCTCTATAATGCTCCGATAATCGGCTTATCAACACTTGAATTCTTTGATAATGCTGTGAGACTAACGTCATATAACTTGCATTATTTCGTTTATTTTGATTCATCGGAGAGGATTAAAGGTGAATTAAATCAACGAAATTAAATTGTAGAATGTAAAACTAAATTAAATGATACAGTTAAAGTTAAGTAATGTATGGAACGATGTGAAATTTTTGTTTGTCATCAATGTGTCAAGCTAATAAAATAAATGCTACACGGTAGCATTTATTTTATTACTGTTTGAAAGAATTTCCAAAATGTCTGTTTTGGAAATTCTTAAAATTTATCGTGGAAATTGGAAATTTACTGTTGAACACATCTTCGAATTATGTCCCGTTAGGATCTTTTTATAAGTTCGTTTCTTTTTTTCTACATGACCTCCATTAAATACATTATATGGATCTTTAGACTCTTTCTTATAGTCGAAAATTGTGTGTCGAATGACGTAAATGTTACACGGAAAGCTCCCGTTGGCGATTAAGCGCGTTAGCTGGAGAAATTTTACAAGTGTAATTTTTACGCATTTATACCGTTTTATGTGAAAGATATATTGAGATGTAATAGAAGTCCACACAAATTTTCGAAATTTTTATGAAATGAAGCACGTGTATCTTTATTCTTACAAGTTTAAAAAAGTTTTCTGAAAATGATTCTGAAATAAGGAAATGTATTTAATTTTGTTTATATCAGGAATCTCTTTTCTGTAATCATTGTTTTGAATATTATATTAAAGATACACACATTTAGTACTAACATTTGTCTATTAAAATTATTCTTTATTTCTTTTTCATTATGATTTGTAACATGATTTGTTCAAATCAAATGTAATGATCAATAATCTATATTAGTATCAAGATATATTTTACAAATGAAGAGATATTGGAGCAAGATCTTGTAATATTTCACAACGATAGACATATTACATTTTTTTCGAGATTAATATTTATGATATTTTAGTTATTTTACTTTGCATAGATTAAAATGCAAAACAAACAAAAGACAAGTCAAATAAGTCATATAATCGAAATAAATTTGTCCTAATAATATTAATAAATAAAATTAAATATAAAAATTTGATAAAATCTTTTTACTGCATTAATACTGAATAATTTGTTTTGCTTGAAATAAAATTTTGGATATAAAAAAATAAAATTTTGGAAATAAAAAATTAGGAATCTCTTTTGTTAATTGTAATTATTATATAAATAGAAGCCAAATTTCGTGCGTCTGCAGTTAGTTCGACAATGTTATTTTTAGGAGCTTTTAGTCTGCACTTATAAGAACTGCGCAAAGATATCAATACACAGATACGAATGTATTATATATATATTAATATCGATGCTTTGTTTGCTCATTCGCATTCGTGAAAACAGGAAATTTCAATTTGCTTCTATCACCAATAACTCATCGCAACTCGAAATCCATCTGGAAATAAGTGATACTAATCGCAATTATCAAGAAGATAATGGTCGGAATCATCAAACACAAAAGAGAACAATTTCAGATGAAATAAAAAAAGCAATATTATTTATGAAATTAATATTTATCAATATAATTTTTTTGCAATTATTATCAAACGAGAATTGAGAGGCATATATTGTTAGATTATTATATTTAATTGATTTTCAAACTCTCGAAAAAAAACGACAAATATGGATACCTCAGCTCAGACCAGCGTACGCAACCACGGCTCAGAAATGTTTTTAATTTTAGATATATACACAGCAAGGAAAAGCCGTTCAAGTGCAACGAATGCGGCAAAGGATTCTGCCAGAGCAGGACTCTGGCGGTGCACAAGATACTGCACATGGAGGAATCGCCGCACAAATGTTCCATCTGCGGCCGCAGCTTCAATCAAAGGAGTAATCTGAAGACGCATCTTCTGACGCACTCGGAGGTCCCGCAGGATCTTAGGGTCGAGGCGTCCGTGTCCTCGGACTCGAGAATCATTTCCACAGAGGTCAGACAGATGACGGAAAGGATGAGTAGCCTTCTGCCGATACAAAGAAGCAGTACAATCGCGCCAAAGCTCGGTTTCAGTATAGAAGACATCATGAGACGTTAAGGCATCAATTTTGTCCCGAATTGTGATTTACATGCTCCCTCGACGCAGGGTCTTTCCTTTTCGTGCGATGGAGTTTCTCGTTCGAAATGATTTCTACAAATTGAGGCTAAAATTAGCTTTATCCATTGTACCTTAATCCTTTGCGCTCCCGTAGTGCCAATCAGACTTGCTTTAAGAATTTTAGTACTCTACGATAATTTATTTATTATAATTATGATTTATTATAATATATGTATATAACAGTTTATGATAATATTTCTATTTATTATAATATTAAGTCGAGAAAAAGCAAATGCAATATTGAATAAATCAATATAAGAGATATAATTTTAATTATAAATATAAATAAGAGAGAGTATAAAATTGATCTAATGTACGTATTAAGAATATTTGCGCATGAATCGATATAGAGATGTACAGAGTGCAAAGGATTATTCCTTAGAGGAGGATATAAATCAGAAGAATCAGTCAAACGATCAATTAATCGCTGACCTGAAATTTACAGGGTCGTAATCAGGTATCGAAACTTATCGAAAAATCGGTGTAATTTCGATGTTATAGTGCACGCGAAATTGATCTCAAAGTAAGAATCGATGTTGGTGTCACTTTCGATTCCTGCTCTCTCTCGCTAACTATTATTTGTCAATCATTCCTTGCTCGCAAGAGCAGAGGAGACGTTATTATTCACTCATACTAGGACAGATGGAGCGTACGTTGACGAGTTGGATTTCTCGGAATTATATTCTCTCGGGATTGATTGGATATGTGACGAAACGTAATTACGGTAGAAGATATAAAAGAATGAAATTGCAGCTTTGGATCTTCCACGGAATGCAAATTGCAACGAAAATAGCTAACTATATTGACGCTACTAATGACGCAAAAGCGAGGTAGACTGCGAGTTCTCGAGTTTTCGCGTGTTAAAGCACACTTATAAAAATAGAGACTTTACCATCTCGTAAGTCACGATTAAAAGTTATTAAATTGGAATAATTTGTCTGTTCTTACGAGTCTGCGTTATGTCTAGGCAGAAAGTTAAAGATTCCCGAAAATTATCCTCTTTGTTCGCCCTGTATGTCATGTCTGATTTCTTACAGAGTAGAAATTACAGAATAAACAGGAGACGCTGCTTTATCGGAAAAATTATTAGTGAGCCATAAATGCAAATTCTCATCGCGTGCAGATTGTAACATACGCTCTCGTCTCCTCGTGTAAATATGTTTATTTGAGATATTTATTTGAATGTTTTCGTATAAACTATATAGTTATATAGCTATATAGTTATATATATATATATATATATATATATATAATATATATATATATATATATATATAAAATATATATAATATAATATAATTTCTTAGGAATCGAAATATATTATATATATATATAATATATTTCGATTCCTAAGAAAAAGAGAGAAACGCACGCGCTTGTATATATGTTCCTAGATGTATGTATATGTACATTCTTTTCTCAAAGATCCTATAATTTACGATAATTCACGAAAACAGTATTCCCCGCACGTCGAATCGAACTTATCACGTATTCCAACTAGTTTCTTGTCGAAAATACCTGCTGGTACATTTCAGCTTTCCTGATTAAATACATTACAACATACATAAGTACATAGAAATCGGCGTTGTACAGACTTGACGTTTCTGTCAATCGAGAATGACACACTTGATTTAATATTTATTAATATAATTTACTTTTGTCGGAAAAAATGAGGAATATCACTTTATATTTGCAACAACTCGAGCGCTGCGCAAAATTTCAACTAATTATTACCATCAATTCATTTGTGACTTTCACGAATGAAAATTCGAATTTACACGATGTATTTATAAATCGAGACATTTACATAGCAGAACTCACATATGTGAGGTTTTAAATTTGTGTATCGCATGAGTAATTTGCGTCGCGTGTATTAGACATTAAATAATGTTGGTGCATGTAAAATGTCGAATTTTCGCAGATTTAAAACATTCGTATCACTGTTTTTATTACTTTGCATCGCATAAAGTTGCATGCAATTCAATCGCTTTATTTTTATAAAGTTTTCTCCAAAAGTTTATTTTAGCTGTTTCAAGTTATAACATAACATTCATTTAATTTTCTTATGAGAGAGAAAATTCCAATTAATATTGCAATTTAAATAAATCAGTAGCAGAGAGAAAGAGAGTATATCAACAACGTTAACAAACAAATAAGAGCAATTGATTTCAATAATTTCGTTTCTGAGATTTATCTTTACAGACGTAGTACTTTATAAAGTAAGGATTCTTATTTTTACTGATGAAAGACATAAATGAAACTCATTTTTCGTTTGTATCATTATTTATGACGAAACTATCATTTCTAGCACAGAAATTATATTGTTGACAATATAGGAATATGACAGAAGAGTTATTAGATATTCATTTTTATCGGTCAGAGCTATTATAATAATAGAGAGAATTATTCACGTTGAAAGGAATAAAAATACAGCATCAAATATTAATTAATTAATTTTATGAGCCTATATTTCTCACAGATATTGCTCAATCAATTAATGACGAAATTGAAAAAACAATTTGATGATTCTAGACTTTTTTCAAAAAGGCATTTTTTGACTATAGAAAAGAAATGAAGAAAATTATTAATATTGATAAAGTATTCCATATTTTAATAATTATATAAAATTAAAATTATATTTTATATAATACTTTATCAATATTAATAGTTTTCTTTATTTCTAATTATTAAAATTATATTTTAATAATTATATGAAATGTAATTTAAATATTTGTTATTTTCATAGAATATGACGTTTAAAATAATTTTTAAAAAATCCGACATTTTTTATATGCACCGAAATCTAATACAATGAAGTTAAGAGAAAGAGAGGAAGGGAGATGGATTTTTTTACTCTACGTAAATCACAATCGCTCTACGCGAGATGAATATCTCTTTTCGTTTCGTCTCCCTCGTTTTTTAGATTTTAAAAGCGCACGTAAATTCCTGAAGAATGTATCCACGGTTATACGATTCACAAGGCGTCGAGATAATTGATCGTTCCTCGACGACGACAACGATCTATGTCGGGAAGGTGCGACGTTACCGTTGCCACGTCGCGTGTATCGACCGTGTTAATCGAGTCTCTCCGGACCCGCTAGATATCTCTCCGTTTCCCGTAAAATTAGGAGTTTAGATCAGATAAGCGCGGGGACGCGGTGGACATTTCCTGGCGGTTCCAGCCGCGTGGCCACCTTTTCTCTCGGTGCCACCGCGACGACCTGTGCGAATGGTCGCCTAAAGATTATTTTTTTCCCTTTTAATCTAGGAAAAGATACACTTCTACCCGCGCGGGCCACCCACGTTTCACGTATAGGGTGTGTACAGAATTCTCGCATTCTTTTCTCTTCTCACAGATTTTTTGATGAACAATTTTTGACGACCTTATTATGATCCTTTATTAAAATCTTGAAGGAGTACAATTGCTTTTCGATAATTAATATTTTTTTTAGCTTGCATAAGTGAAGCTCTTTCATGAATGTATACAGGCTGTCAGGGCAATCTCTTCCCCAAAAAAGCTCTTGTAGCTTACCTCGAGAGTTTTTCAAAACACTATAATAAAGTATTTTTTCATCGAGTACTTTTCGAGTTATGAAGCTTAAAATAATCTCTTAATTTTACATAAACCATAAAATATATCTAGTAAAATATTTATTTTTCGATTATCTTATCTTAATACTTTTATGTACAAAATAGTGAGAGGAATCAATTTATGTAAATAAAACACAATTATTTCGAAGAAAAAATATGTAATTGTTAATTGCAAATTACATATTTGTTTTCTAAACAATTATGCGTTTTCTTTACACCAATTGATTCTTCTCATTATATTTTGTAAAAGGTAAGATAATCGAAAAATGAATATTTTACTAGATATTTTATGGTTTATATAAAAATTAAGAAATTATTTCAAGCTTCATAACTCGAAAAGTCCTCGATAAAAAAAATACTTTATTATAGTGTTTTGAAAAACTCTCGAGGTAAGCTACAGGAGCTTTTTTTTGGGAAAAGATTGCCCTGACACGTGAAACTGATTTATCCAATATTGTTCTGCTCATTCAATATTAAATGACAATTGAAAATCGATCTAGTTGAATTTTCAAAGAGAGAGAGAGAGCTGAATTCCGAGTTAGAAAACTATGGCTGAGAAGACGTTCGACTTCTGACACACCTTGTATACGCGCTCGATTTGTTCCCCGACTTAATGTGCGCGTCTCGAATCGTTGATTGCGTTACCGCTAATTTAAAATCGTTGTAAATATATATATGCGTGTAGATAGTACCCGTTCTCGTAGGTGTGAATTGTCTTTTTCGGTCGTGTAGATTGTCGCCGTCGTTCTTCGACCCGACCCGATCGCTTGCGCTCTTATCGGTGCGTTATAAAAGGCGCGTTTATATATGTAAAAGCGTTCGAGGTTCGGGATAAACGTCGGACCCCGATGCGGCTGTCTGTTACTGTACGATCATACCAAATAGAATCGGAGGAACAAGCGGATACCTCACCCTAGTCGGTAATTGTATATTTAAATGTTGTTGTTATCGATTGAAAATAAATATTAATCCAAACGAACCGATGCTCGTTGACGCTCTCTTTGCGTATTCTCGTCAGCCTCATCATTTTTATTTAATCCATCTAGCGAATTTTTCACAGCCCTCCTCGAGATATCGAAATGGCACGGATCTTTACGGAAAAATAAGGGATCAAAATGATCTCTTTCCGCGAAGTTTTACGTTCGCTGATGTCTTTCGAATACTTGCACATATATTGTTGCGCAATTAAAGATACGATCGTGTGAATTAATCTTGCGAGTATGACGTTCGATAAAGCTTAATCTAGCGAGAGTAAACGAGAAGCAGTTCGCCTCATCTCGGCGATCCTCCCTTCGACGCGAGTCATCCCCGAGAAACGAGGCTGACCATTATTCCCGGACCAGCTTTCCCGACAATAGCTGGCAGTTAACGCGCTTGCCGGTCAGTTAGTACTGTTTAACTTTAATTAATTCCCGCACCTTTCACGAGGGAGGGGGAGGGAGGACAATAAAGCGTGATGAAACGCCGAACAAACAAGTTTTCTCCCTTCGCTCCTTCATCACCGGGTTAATTCCGGACTCTGTCGTCACTTTGTT